GCTTGTTGACATTCAGGCCTCAGGTGCGATCTCGTTCGGACCACACTTCGTAACCAACAGGGTTGGTGCGTGACCCGACGCGTTCCTGTACGTCACTCTCATCCTGTGTTGCCCCCTGCTGTATCGTACACCCGGACAGGAGCAGCTGGATCGTCAAGAAGAGCTGCTGCGAGTGATTGACGATGACTGCCAGAGTTGTCAGCGTGAAAAGGTCAGTGGTGTATAAGGTGAAGAGGAAAGCGGAAAGCAGCAGCTCCTGTATGCATCTGACCACCACGTCAGACAAAGGACATCTGCGGCCAGACGGACAAGACTGTGTTTGCCGTTGCCTGTCAAGTAGTCATAATCCAGGAGATCATAGTGTCGTCAACCACGCACCACCTGCGCTTCTCACCCATTAGGCAAAGAGGGCTGAATGGGTGTTGAAAGCACTGGGAGAAATCAAAAATGTGATCCTCACAGTGTCTCCCACCATCAGATGTCATGTGGGTTCGCTGCAGCAGGTAAGATGACAGCCATCATCGACTCCTAAATGGGCTGACAAATTTGCAAAGGGTCCAGGAAATGTCCTCACCTGTGGCCCAGCTGGGCTAAGACCAGTCTCTCAGGACCTTCATCACAATGCGATGTTAGGCGACTGTCGTAGTCTGCGCAGATGGCCTCGACTTCTTGGGGACTGGGATCAATGCAGGGAGTCTTCAACAGCAAACGACTTTCTCCTGACTCAGGCTCAGGTTGTACAGATGTCCAGTACAGTGGACAGCTGGCTGGCACAGTCTTCAGGATCCTGGGTGATAATGCCATCAGGGCCTGCAGCCTTTCGCTGATGCAGTCTTTCCAGTTGCCTCTTACCTGGCCTGTAGTCACCGTCGGGCGGGGTTGGTGCAGATGTCATCAGGTGGATGAGCGAGGAGGGGGTGGGGGAGAAAGGAGGGGGCAGATGGAGAGGTGTTTGTACAGGGGATGCTGGGGGTGCGTGTTAAGCCATTTGGACAGCGTAAGTGTGTGGGGGGCTGGGTGTCGGAGGGGTAGCAAGGAGGTGAGCTAAAAACCTGTTGATATCAAGAATCAGAATCATCTTTATTTGTCATTGTCACAGTACAACGAATTGCTAAAAGGGGAGGGAGAGACAAGGAGAGGGGAGGGGGAAAAAAAGGCAGCTCCCAAGAACTCTGCTCCTGTAGGGGAGTACAGTGTGGGATCTTGAAAAAAACCTAAGCAAACATAAGGCACATATGAGCACACTTTACAACATAAGAACTCAAAACAACTTGCACCGGGGGAGTGGGAAGGGGGTGGAGGCACACCCAAGCGCAGACAGGCAGCTGCGCGGCGCAGCCATTCGGCGCAGCCAGCGGAACCCGCTTGTCGCACTGGGGGTAAAAAAGCGGCGAAGCGTGGGATTTTGGGGGGGGTGGGGGGTAGAAGCGGGTGTTGCATATGCGCATGTGTAAAGTGTCATTTTGGAGTGAGTTGTGTACATAAGCCTGGAGAGTCGCTTCGTCTACCTCTCAATCAGTGGCCCAGGTTCAGCATGTGCATTGCGATAACAGCAGGTTGCCAATGGAGACGTCCTTGACGGGTCCTTAAACAGGCATATCAAAAGTGTCCGTGAAGGAAGGTAGGAGGGACTAGGCAGGAGCGTCTCACTGCAGCGATCTCCTGGAGAGTTGTTCCAGCAGCGGCTTGGCCAAGGCCGGTGCTACTGAGGGCCGGAATGCAGATAGATTATGATTGTTTGGGTTAGGGCCAGTAGTCGCATCATTTCAATAGACACGACTTACTCTAATTTGTCCAATCTGGTTCTTCAATTCGATTCATTCTCTTTTGCAAAGCCGAAAACTTCTCCAAATGATGTTTTCCATGTGCAGTTATTACCCCACCAGTCTGAGCGCTAACAGCTCTGCTCACTCCACAATCATGTCGGGCAGCTTCATGGGGCTTTTGACTACTGACACCGTCTTCCGAATTTTCTCGATATAAACCAGGGCAATGCCTAATCCAAATCAGCAGATAGCCTTTTATCAGGTTCCGAATATAGAGATCCTGATTGAGTCCAGATGTCCCTGGAGTCCTCTAATATGAATCGTGATATATTATGAGGAACAGCCTCGAAACACACGACCCT